CGTGTTTCTGCTGAGCAGTGTCTATATACAACAAAAACCGGAGAAGAGCAATGTGCTTCCGTACTCTTTGCTTCATGATTGTCATATGAGCATGACCATTTGTTGAAAGTATTTATAAAGGTTGATAAATAATTATGTCTTCACCAGGGAGAATGTGAGATCGGAGTTGATATTCTTGGTTTTGGGTGGGTTCCAGACACACGTGTAAGTAACCAAAGTTAGGACGTGTGGCTAATTCGTAAGCCGCTTTAAAAAATGGTACATTTCCTGGTAGGATTTGGGATCCGAAGGTGATAATTTGCCGTGAATCCCGGTAATTCTTAAATAAAATCACATTAAGGCAGTTAAGAGAAATAGTTCTGGCATATTTTCCGGGTGGATATAGATTCTGAGAAAGCATCACTGTGATAATGTTGCGATGATGTGAAGTAAATGTACACAGTCTTGAGATTGTGCAATCTTTAACATGAGATCATCTAAAACGATGATAGTATGACGCACATCTTCTGTGTACTTCTCTATATCTTCCTTTGTGGGTAAACCCTGATGTAATACAAGAGTTGGTATAGACTGTTCCATGTCGTGGAACATATCTTGATGCTCGGAAAAAGCATATATTATTTTATCCACTGGCATTGTAAACATCTCATTAGCTTTTTCTAGCAATTGCTTTGTAAAGTAGGTTTTTCCGCTCTGGGTACTTCCACATATTAAAATAGTAGTTGGTGCAGAAAAAGGGAGTAAGGACTTTGTTTTCCACCACTCGGTGTCGTTGACTTCCATGTTATGTCTTCGTCAACCTCTGAGATTGTGATTTTTTAAGCATGAAAAAACCATATTTATAGGATAAAAACACCCTTTTTTCAATTTGATTGATTTTAATTTAAAAAATATTGACATACAAAGTTCTGTACAAAATGATCATTGGATTGATAATCACGAGAAAATAAAGTGTGTAACTGTATCAGTGATTTTCTAAAACACAATCGTACAATTAAAAACATTAATACATAATTTCCACACAGGTTAGAGTTTATGGATTGAAGTCTTATATTTCTCATATCACAATGTTTACTATTGTTTGCAATAAAATCTCTTATATAGTGGTTGTATGCAGACAATGGCTTCCCGAGACTGTCGAAAAATTCTGATTGATATGGACTGTGTATGATAATGGCTAACCAATGTTCACCAGAAAATGGAAGCGGTTGATTGTTTACTATGAACGCACTAGGATAATGTTGAACATGTTTTGGTAAGGTATTACTGGCATAAACTCCTTTTACGACTCTCCGTAGATAGGGATCCATTTCAACTAGATCGTTGAGCTGTTTAGAATTCATGGTTGAATGTAGTTAATGTCACGTGATCTGTCTATTTCTAACAAAGAGGAGAAGGTGGCAAACACCAGTACGTTGGCAGCTTTGGTTGTTGCTTGTTTGAATTTCAATTCCAGTCTGGTGTTACCCCTACGGATCAGGTTAAGATATTCCTCACCAAATCCACACGGATCTATGGTAAACACAAAGAGGGAATATCCATTACCAAAATTACTTCTGGTGATGATGAGACCCTCATCTCGGTTCCATTTTCCACAAGCTTCAAACAGTCGTGTATAGGCTGTGGAAAAATGTCCTGCCGTGAAATCCGTCTGTAGGGGTCTTCCTGGAACACTTTCTCCATTGATGTATACTCCCACATCAGTGAGGTCGAAATTTTCAAAGTTGAAAGGATTTTTGGTGTAATCTCCATTAACGGCTTTTTGATCAACCAAGGCCACAACAAGACGATCCGGTATTGCTTGTGGGAAAATGTTATCCCAATAAAATTCGGTGGAGCCTTTTGGGATAGTGTTCATCTTTCATTCATTCCTGGTGATGGGGTATTTGACAGGGGTCGTTTCTATTTGTTTGCTATTATTTAGTAGAACACCCGGATCTACGCGGACTTTAGCTACTTTGTAGACAACATCCTGTAATTCCAACTTGTAGGCTGGGGAAGCGGCAGCTGACATAATTACGAAGGGTGCACTGGATCTAAACAGTTTGATGTAAATATCAACCCCATTGATTAAGTATTTGTCTATGTCAAATATGTCTTCCATTAAATTTCCTTCTAATTCAAAGGTTTTACTCTGTTGTGTGTACCCGTAACGCAGGACTAATCCAGCGTTCCCACCGTTGTAAGCGTTAGCGTCACCTAAGTTGCCTTCATCCTTGAAAAAAAGCTCCGATTGTTTTTGTGAGGATAGCTCGTCTCTACCGCTGAACAATATTGTTTTCAAATAACTTTTCCAGGGGTAGTTGTTCGTATTGAAAGATACTAGCTTGTTGTTTAGATAAACATCCATCTGAGAAAACATACTTTGTAGTGGTAGATTGATGATACCAGTTTTTTCGTTGGCTGTCAAGGAGGTACCGTCCGCTTTGAAAATCCGGGCTTTGATATATAATCTACTTCGTTTTAAATCAATATATTCCGCTCCAGCCCCAGAAATTACCATCTCAATGGGACTGTCCGCACTGAGGCTGGAAATGGGTCTTCCGAGAAATATACTTTTTCGACTGCTACTTGATTGGTAGGAGAGGCAAAAAATGAAAGTTCCATTGGTTGAGCAATATCTTTATCGTCCCTGCTTAAAAATGCCATTTTTTTTAATTCGTTGAATATGTTCCTGTAATTATCTATTGTAACTACTTTTGTCTGTGTAGGTCTTGGTTTTTTCAGGGTTTGTTTCTGTTTAAAATATTTTTTCTTCTTGACTCGTGTAGATAGTTTTGTTTTTTCCTCCGCTGACTGGTGGTTTTATTCTTTTTCTTGGATGATGTTAACCGTTTCAGTTCTTTTAAAGGACTGACAGATGGTTGTTTATGCCGGCTTTTTATACCCCTTTTTAAGTTGACATGGGGAATTCCCTTTTCAACATCGTTGGTATGTTCTACGTGCGCACATTCTTCTACAGCTGCTATGGGTGATACCTGTGTGACAATTTGTTGACTTTCCAGTTGTGAGTGTGGCCTTATATGGATGATTTATGATTTCCGTTTTTTCATACCCCTACCTATTTGCTTGGGTTTATATTTGTAGGGATTAAATTTTTTTTCAGCCATGTTCTTTTAAAATGCTTCCCATATTTTAGGGTCACTCACATACGTTTGACTGTTCATCATAAAATGTAAGGAAACTTTTTGAAGTGTAGTGATATGTTCACCGCTCCGTTTAGAAATGAAACTAATTTACCGTCTCTGTCCGTTATATACAATGATATCTGCTGTATTTGAGCTATTTTTACAGGAACATAATATGGTAATGTAAAAATCATATGACCGGTTGTTTTTTGTTCTAAATAAATCCTCCTCAATAGAGGCATTTCTTTACTTCCGACAATCGTTTCCTCACAAATATTACAGCATACAAAGATTTCGTTTACTTTCGATGTTGTAAGCCAGCTTTCCGCTTTGAATTCGGTTAGAGCAACTGTCCAGTACCCATCAAATTGAATTTGTTTATTCAATTGGATTGTAAAATTGTTGGGGTTGTTTTGAAAATATTCAGTGCTGTCGTCAGACGATAATAACATACGAATGCTCATCGTGAAAATGAATATGATTCGTTGTTGATGAAGTATTTATTTGATTTTTTCGAGGGAACTTTCAGAAATCCACGAGTTGAATTTATTAGGCCATCCTTCCCATTTTACAAACACTTCCTTAGTGCGACCTCTCCGTCGTTTTTTCAATACTTTCTCGACCCTGTATAAAATATCATCTGGCTTGACTACCTTCTGAAGTTCTGATTGATAAAATGTACCATCAATTAAGTCGTCTGTTAAATCTTTTAATTTATAGACAGGAATTCCATCTCTCAGGTAACGTTGACTGACTTTAAAATATTCCTCGGTCCATTTTTGTTGATAATCTCTTTTAAAGGGGTGTTTAATCTCTGTTATACGTACATTATCTCCTATTTTTAGATTGAATGGATTTATGTTGTTTTTTTTTACATTTTTTAGTAAAGGTTTCTGCAAGGTAGATTTCTTGTCCTTGGGTTTCTTCTTTTTCGTTAGGTAGCTCGTGTATCTGACTTCTCCAGCGTTGTTCTTATTAACAGATGCAGGTGAATATCCCCCTAACATCCTGTGTGGTCTGTTATTGTAGGTTTTTACTAAGTCTTGTAAAATATTCGTATACTAATAAGTTCTATTTTTTAAAAAATAACGATACATTATATTCTTCATGGTGCGTATGACTCTTTCCGCATAGTTGGCCTTGGTTTCGTTCTGTGTGTACAAAATATTTACATTTTCTTTTTTCAAAAATGCCTTAAGCCAATGGTTTTTAAATTCACTACCCTTATCTGTTCGCATGGTGTGTGGTTTTCTCCCCTTTTTAAAGATTATATTCAATCCGTTGATAATATTTTGATGTTGTTTATTTTTTAACGGTACTATAAACAAATACCGACTAAATATATCGATTAAAACCAAAAAAAATTTAAAACCACCATTGTGACTGGAAATGTTACTAACATCGGCTAGGTCTCCATCCCACATGGAGTCGATCGTGTTAACTACAACCCTTGAACGTGGAAATGTTAGGCCGGTGGGTTTAAGTAGACTGTAGGCGTCCTCATTGTTTAGAAATTGCTTAATTTTTGGTCTACTGATTTTGTATTTTCCATCTTCTTTGACTGGTTGATCAGGACCTGATAATGCTCCTTGGTTACCAGGGGTATAATACAGTTGTCGTAAATAACCCGTGTAGTTTGACATTCTGACAATAAATGATTGTGTACCCTCTAAGAGAGATATATAAGGGAGAAAACAAGAAAGAAATGTGTTTTTATGTCTTATAATTATTTTCATAAAAATGCATGCTCTTAATTAATGTGAAATAAAGTACATACAACTCATTTTACATGTAGCATAGCTTGTGTTTATAGGTAAACAAGGTTGATGATTATAAAAGAAATTCATATGATAAAAGTATAGTGTTCTTTTATTAACAATCCATATTGACAACCAGTGAGTTTTGGGATTCAATTTGCTCAGTTTCCATAGGCTCTTCTACCCGGGCTTCATACCCAAAAGGGGAGCATTCTGGGCAACTTAGTACCCCCAACTGATTTTGATGGGATTCGTTGAACATACATATTTGAGCGTCATTCAGTTCAGGAACACTCTCTCGTAATTCATAGACTGCCGATTTAAGTCTATCAAATTTATCTCTGGTTAAATTGATTCCTTTCTTTGTCGGAATTGGTCCATTTGCATCATCTGGTTTCCAGAAGTGTCTAATGTCTACTGTTGAGAAATCGGGGGATAGGGAAACGTAGACAATACCACCGATGTGCCACTTCATCTCCTCTTCCTGACTCCGATGGCTCTGTAGATATTCTTCTATTTCATCCAGGAGACATTCAAATTTCAACCAGCGGGGTAGGGGGAAATATACCCCTTTCTTTGTTGGAAAGTGAAGACCATTGGATTCAGAAAAGTGAGGGATATGTATCATAATTTCCCCTTGGTAAGGCGCAGCTGTGAGATATAGTTTAGTGGGGTTGTCTAAATTGATCCTACATCGGGGCTCCTGTAACTGCGGACTTTGAAGATGTGAGTTACTTGATTCAACGTTTTTCTGTCTTTTTTCGGCGGTGTTGACAAGAAAAGACCTTGCCAAGGATAACTTTTTTTCGTATTCAGAGGGCTCACTCTCTTCCTTAATCAACAGTTTGGCCACGTCATTTTGACCAGCTTTTAAAAGTGCCCTCTTAAGTCCATGGAAAGCTTTCGGCCCTTTTTTCAAAATGATGCTGAGTAGTTTTCGGTTACGACTGTAGGTAGTTTTCTCAAACTGTATCTGTTGGTGCATTTCGTCTGTAATAACATGGTCTTTCATGAGGTATCCAGCTACAGGAATGACCTTCATTTCCTTCACCAGTGTGGAGTAATTGGATTTGATGAGGTTTTGCTGGTATTGTTCCATTGCTGGTATTGTCTTGTTTCGATTCGTCTATAGCTTGACAAAAAGATTTGTGAGTGTGATCACATCTCTACCCGTATTTATACAGGGAAGAAGGGGTTCCGAGATAAAAAAAATGTTATTAAAACACGTGACATTGATGATCATATTGTGACTGTGACTAACACTTTGTCGAGTTGATACAGTGAAAATGTGATAAGTTGGTCACGTTGTGACTGTGATTAACACGTGTATAGTTAAAAAAAAAAGGTTGATGTATTAGAAACACGTGTTTATGTTGATCACGTTATGATTTCACGTGTATACACTCAAAGATAAAGTTGGTGTTTTAAAATACGTGACTATGTTGATCACGTTGTGACTGTGACTCATACATGCATAGTCTCAATAAGGTTGATGTTTTAAAACACGTGAGTGTTGATAACGTTGTGAGAGTTAGGTTCAAAGGTCGATGACTGTACTAGATAATTTTCATCCAGGTGCAAGTATGTCAGGTTTCCTAACTTTTTTTTTTAAATTTTTCATAGTTTGTTAAAAGTACATACACAGATAAGCTTGGTTTAACACAAGGTCATGTCAGATCTGGTTGTCCTTTTAAATTCCTTTCTACAGATAAGATAATTTTCACCCCAGGTGCAAGTACGTGTGTCTTTTAGATTTCTTTCTGTATAGATAACATCTTCTGTAATACGGGTTGAAGTAGTTTTTCGATGTTTTCAATTTTCCGTTTAAAGTGCGCCCTATCTATAGGATACGTCTTCCATATACCACTTCGTTCTTCATATGGGATATAGAAAATCTGTATATTATCATTGAATCGTATTTTCTTCTTTTGTCTTTTAGGCATGGTTATATGACTGGGGTTTAGAACGTAATTTATATTTTGCAGGCATAACCTTTCGTTTGAAAATGTACTCGTCACTCCCCCGGCTGTCTGCAATGTCGTATCCTCTTTGAGTATTTTCTTTAAAGTTATTAATGCAATCTTTTTTCTTATAAAAACCAGTCACTTTCGTGTAATGTCCATTTTTTGCTATCTTTTTTAAGCGCGCTCCAGGCTAAAATTTCCCACTTGTGTTTGTGGATATTCCATTCTTGTTTTTTTTATAATGGTGTAAAAATTATAAGTTTATATATGTTTTATCAGTGATGTTAAGACTGGCCATTAGTGACTGTGACCTCTTTATTGACCTATGACGTCAGTGACTATGACCTCTACATTGACCTGGGTGTGACCTCTGACGTCATTGACTGTAAAGTGACTGTCCAGTACCGTATTACTACTAACACCCGTTTACCCATTTTGTTGTCTCTCAGTATTTTTTATTAGATTTGTCAGTGAGATTTGGCATTTGCCAGTATTTATGAGACAACTTACAGAAAGAATTTTTTTTTATCGGATTTTTTAAATCATGTGTGTTGCAATTGACCAAAATGGACATTTATGCAAACATGTCGACACTCTAAAAATGTACATGTAACTTACGTCTGATACAGAGTCCAAAACACCTCTTCTTTATAAAATTAAACTAATACACTGTAACAACTAGTAAATAATTTAGATATACTTTAACGAAAACAACTATATCAAATATTGCATGTAAAATAAAGGCAGGGGATTTATGCATAAACTTTTCGTGTATGTTTTCGTGTGATAAAGTAATGTTTTTTCAATCAGATACATATTTCAAATATTTCTGAGAGGGATATAAAAGCGTCAGTTTGAACGTCATTTTTCAACGTAATTTTAACATTTTCTTAACCTTTGATTCCCTATATCTCAGTAATTATTCTGAATATTTGAATCAAACTTTATATTTGGTTATTTTACACAATAATCTATCATAATCCATTGAAAAGTCAATTTTGAAAATTTTTACCTTAAGGGCCCTTTTCGCATGGGACGGCTCATTTGATATCTATGACTTGTATAACGTTCACGCACCAACTCACTGCAAACTCTCACCATTGAATATTACAGCTTTCCGGTCATTCGACAATTTCAGAGAAATGCTTGCACATTTATACAATAAAGTGAAATAAATAAAATGAATTACACTGTTCTAAATTTGGTAAAAATACAAAAACATAAACAGTATAAAGATGTACTTTTTTCCTCATAGAAATGCTGAAAACTGTTAATCGGAACCCGCACTGACTATTGTTTAGCACGTGTATGTAACATTGTAGTTCGCATATAATTTGAAAAGAAGTTTTTAGAACTTATATTTCCGACATTAAAATTTGTCATGTTAAACTCTCAAATGACACGGCTTACATGTATAAATAGTTTTCTTGACACTATTTAAAAGAAAAGATGTCGCTTTAGTACTGATCTTTAATTTAAAAAAAAAATAATTATCATAAAAACGTTTAAAATATTTTCTGCTTTACAAATTCTTTTTTGGAGTATGTTTATTATTTTCACCTCACTGTTGCAAAATAAAAGAAAATAATATCATAAATATACATACACTGAAGATCTTACATTTTTTTTAAGAGGGAATTTTGCTGCTGTTCATAAATTTATTGACGAATCATGTAGATTCTCTAGTTGATATATTATTTAATTGCTTTTTCACTTGTACTAACTGTATTATTTTTCTTTTAATTTGCATGATATATTGTAAAATATAAGGAGAGGAACCTAGTCAGTTGTATAGGACTTGTTTTCAATCGTTTAACTCAATAAAATATGTTCAAAACAGGGAATTTCGCAAAATTCCTGTTCGGGGAGATAACTCCCATTTGTTTACGATACTAGTTGATCGATGATTTAACCGCGGCGGGGACAGGTAGGTGATGAATTTCCCGCGGAGGGAACGCGTTTCACCTGTCTCACCTGGCCAAATCCCGCGTTGTGTATATACCGCGACGGGGCGCGGGAAATACGGGATCCGCGTTGCCTGTACTGTACAGGGGATAAAAAAGGATATTGTGGGTAATCATGCTGCGAGTTTTCGAATGGAATAGCAGTATTTAACGTGGTTAATGCAGAATGTTCATGCATGAACTGATGCATAACAGGTCTTGAAAAGGAGGAAATGTCGGGGGAGCCACTGGTGACCTTTCTGAGGCCAGAGAAATCTGGAAAGCTGCCATTGACCTAATTATAGACTGAGGGACATTTGGAGTGACTGATGGCTCATCAGAAGGCCGAGCGCATTGTTGATCTTGTAGAAAGCATAGAAATTGAGGGAGCCACTGTTGGATTTTGTAAAAAATATTATCCATTCTTATGTCGACACGATATATCCAAGTGAGCTTGAAATAAAAGATACCACAGAGTCTGATACCTCTGTTTCAGATTTGGATGTTTTACTAGAAAAAGACATTAATGGTAATCTAACAACAAAGCTTTATGATAAACGTGATAACATTAACATTTCAATCTTCAACTTCCCTTACTTATGCAGCAGTATACCCTATTCATCTGCATACGGAGTTTATATCTGTCAGTTGATTCGATACGGAAGAGCATGTTCTACGTATGAACAATTTCTAAAACGAGGTAAGTTATTGACAAACAAGTTCATGAAACAATATCAGCAGTTTCGATAGAAGTCATCATTTCGTAAGTTCTATAGTTGATACAATGACCTTGTCAGTAAATACAGTCTATCATTAAGTCAAATGCTGACTGACTTTTCTCATACTAATCGTTAGGCCATTACAGTAATCACTCTTCTGTCTGTCATTCTTCCGTCCACAATTTTCGTTTTTTTTTCTCTCTTAACTTTTTTAGGGTTGACCAATTAAGTTCAAATTTGGTATGATGGTTGAATAGACAGCAAGACACATTTTGATAATAAGTTCTTTATGTCATCCGGTTTGAAGCTGGGGTGGTGGGGTAGATTCCTTAACTTTTTATAAGAGTGAATCGGCAAAGAGAGATAACTGCTGAGAATGTTCCTATTGTAAACTATGAAAGGCTGTAATGAGTCTCTTGAGATTAATTAACATTCTTGAAGAAAATCCAAAAGCATTTATCTTTATCTGTCACATTGAGATTAATTAACACCTCTGTCTGCAAATGAAGTTTGTTTTGAAGTTAAGGTCAATTCTGAATGATGTTTACATTCTCTGAAATGTGGATTTAAATAATGTTCATACTTCATTTTGGTAAAATGCATAATGAGTTATGATTTTATTGAATTCTAAAAACAAGATATAGATAAAGATATATTTTTTATATATTTTTTTCTTTTTTTCTGCCTTATGTAATTTCAAGAATACTAATTATTTTAACAGTATTCAGATACATGTAATAACCTCATTCTATCATTGCTGAAAAAGTTCTTATTGTAAACTTAGGAATAAAGGTTGAGAGAGCAGTGTAATTAATCCCCAGGGATTGATTATTTTGCTGGTTGCAGAAAGTTTAGAGGGTTATCTTTCTGTCATTTTAAGATTAAAATGCAACCGATATACGGCTGCTTCCCCTCGCAAAAATTAGTGATTTTCCCCCCTAATTATCAATTCTTTTTACCCAATTTCAAATGTAAAGAAATAATGGTGAAAATTTACACACAGTTGACAAACAGAAAATACGTTTTTCTTTTCAATTTTATTCTCCAAACCCATGCGCACACTAGAGATTTTATGATAAATGCGTAAAACAATCTAGGTGTCCATATAAGGTGATAGGTAACTAATATTCAAAATTAGTATATCGTTTCAAGCCTCCTTGGTATTTTTAGTTTGACTGCCGTTTTAGAATACATGGTCAGGCTATTAACAGGAAAAGGACAAAACAATAGGATTTCATCAAAATCAGAAAATCAAGAACATTACAGAAGTTCTGTACACCAACGTTTATAAAATAAGGAATCGAAATGCTTAAATATTATGTGTAATTATTTAAAATTAAACGTAATAATTCGAGGAAAGTAAATGATACTCATGCAAGACGTGACTTATATAAACGCTGTTCCCATTCAATATATTAAATATTAAAAATGAAAAAAAAATTTGATGCTTTTAAATTAGACCCGAAGTAAACC